CCTTCGGCCTGGCGGCCGGGCCGCCATGATCCCGAGCGGCCGCTGGGCCCGGCTCAAAATGGAGGCTGCGAGGGAGGGGGAACCCGCGCTAATACCCTCGGCCCCGGGTCCTAGCGGTGCCCCAGCTCCAGACTGGGCCGGGCGGGACGGGGGCCGTGCACCTGGGCAAAGGGGCGGGGGCGCGGGAGGCCCTGACCCCCCTCTTCCCGTCCTCCCCGCAGTCACGACAAGGGACCCGAGGCAGAGGAGGGCGTCGAGCTGCAGGAAGGTGAGTGCTCGCGGGGCTCACCGGGGCCGCGGCCTGCGCCCGGGGAGGGGACTGGGGGCGCCTTGGCCGCGTGACCACTGACCATTCCCCCCCCCCCCCCCCTCCGACCGCAGGCGGGGACGGCCCTGGGGCGGAGGAGCAGACGGCGGTGGCCATCGCCAGCGTCCAGCAGGCGGCGTTTGGCGACCACAACATCCAGTACCAGTTTCGCACAGAGAATAATGGAGGACAGGTGAAGCTGCGGGCCGGGAGCCCGCGGGCAAGTGGAGGGTTGAGCCGAGGGTCGAGCGGGCGGGCTGGGAGGGGCTCAGACCTGGCCCCGGCCGGGACCCCAGAGCCGATCTCGCTGCTCTGCCGCCCCCTGCAGGTGACGTACCGCGTAGTCCAGGTGACTGATGGTCAGCTGGATGGCCAGGGCGACACGGCTGGCGCCGTCAGCGTTGTGTCTACGGCTGCCTTCGCGGGGGGGCAGCAGGCTGTGACCCAGGTGGGTGTGGACGGGGCAGCCCAGCGTCCTGGCCCCACTGCTGCCTCTGTGCCCCCAGGTCCCGCAGCGCCCTTCCCGCTGGTAGGTGCCCACCACCCCTGGGGGGATGGAGAGGGGACACTGACGCTGTTCTTGGGAATCCCCACGGGGTGGGGCAAGTGGGAAACCGATGCTGCCTTCAGACCATCAGGCGGTGTGGGTCAGATCCCTGTTCTGCGTGGTAAAACTTGGGTCAAGAGCTTTTCTTTCTTTCTGTAAAATGGGGATGATGATAACAGGAAAGTCTCTTAGAGGTGAAAGTGGATCAGCTCATCAGGTGATTGCTGGGCATCTGCTGAGTTCCCTGGCTAGGAGACAGGGCAGAGTGGCACACAGAGAGGGGTTTCCCGTCCTCCAGAGGATGCGGTGAACATTCTACACGGCAAGAAGGGGATGGGTTGGCAAAGATGGCTAAGGGTGGCCTCTGTGTCCTCCTACTCCCCAGGCCGTAATCCAAAATCCCTTCAGCAATGGCGGCAGCCCGGCAGCTGAGGCTGTCAGTGGGGAGGCACGGTTTGCCTATTTCCCAGCATCCAGTGTGGGAGATACCACGGCTGTGTCCGTACAGACCACAGACCAGAGCTTGCAGGCCGGAGGTAAAGGGAGGAAGGGGCCAGGGCGGAAGGCAGGGGAGGCAGCAGGCCTAGCAGGGAGGGAAGCCCCCCCAACCGGTTCTGATTGTCCCCCTTCCCCCCCAGTTTTTGCACTAACCCCCGCTTTTGCTGCAGGCCAGTTCTATGTCATGATGACACCACAAGATGTGCTTCAGACAGGAACGCAGAGGACGATTGCACCCCGGACACACCCCTACTCCCCGTATGTGTGGGAGACCCGGTCCCAGGAGCAGGGGACCTGGGGAGGGGCTGGTGTGAGGGGGCCAAAGGAAGGGAAGTTTTTCTCGAATGGGAGCCAGACAGTTGAGCACAGCAAGCAGTCAGCGTATTTTTTTGGTCTGTTTCTGCTTTTTGAGTATAAGCAAGGGCATTAGTATTTTTTTTTTTTTTTTTTGCATGGGAGTTTATTTTACAGAGATAATTTCCAAATCTGACTCCTTAATAGGTGTTTAGACAAATGGGATCTGAGAGAACACGTGCCCATCTTTTTCTTCTTCTAGGAAAATTGACGGAACCAGAACACCACGGGATGAAAGAAGGAGGGCCCAGCACAATGAAGGTAAGGTCTGGCTGGAGTTTCTGGGCCCCATGGGCACCGCCAGGCCTGGTGCTTGGTGTCACGGCTCACTGGCTCACCGTGAGTGCACAAGAGGTGTTTGGTGAACGCTGGAAAAGTAAAAACAGGTAGAAGTCCGTTGTCAGGAACAGAAAGGCAGGAGGTGTGACGTGGAAGGTGTTTTGTCACGCTGACTAGTGATCTTGAGTTCATGGTCAACGTCTGAAATGGCAAATTTCACGTTCACATGTGGATATCCTGCTTCTCTTGAAGAATCGGTTTGATTTGGTTTCCTTAGGACTACTTTCCATGTGGCAGCTGTTGCACTCTTGTCCTTCATTTCCCCCACCCACCTGACTTCTAGAAGCAGCTCTGGTCTGCTGGAGAACACATCTGAGATTGAAACTCCCCGAAGCTGTGCCCCTGGCTGGCCAAGGCCGAGCATCGTGCCCTTCCGTTAAACAACAGATCCCACCCTAAGGTCATCTTGGCCCTTAATGCTGTCCCTTAGTCCTCCACCGCATTCCCCCCTCCACCCCCCCACCCCCTGGTCATGGTAGCATGCAAGTCCAGGGGGGCGTTTACACCTAGGTCATCTTCTCTCAGCACGTGTTTCCTGAAGGCGGATTCTAGGCTGAGCAGCGTGCACCCTGGGCCGGGTCTGGAGCCTGGTCTGCGGTGTCAAGGAGGCGAAGTTTAGGCTGGTGTCTTCCCCAGAGAGCTGGCCTTTGGGAGAGCCTGTCAGGCGGAGGGGAGCTCAAGCTGGAGGGAAGGCAGAGTGGGCCGAGGTTGCTTCGGGCAGTGCTGATGGGGTCGAAGCAGAGGTTCCATGCGGCGTGCTTGGGGGTGGGGGACCAGCGAGGACTAAGGAAGGCGTTGAATGTCAGGGTGAGGCCCTGAGAGTCCTGAAGGTGTTCGGCTGGGTTTGGGCCTTTGCAGCTGTGACCCGAGCAGCTCACTGAGCTCAGCCTTTAGTACATCCGTACCCTACATCTGCCTGGCTTTTAGGCCCTTGGGTCCAGGGGCTGACAGAACGGATGAGGTCTTGGCTCTCGCAGTGTTCCTTCTGGTGGGAGAGACAGATTACACGAAGCTGCGGTGTGATGTGAGGAGGAGAGAAAGCTGCGCGAGAAGCTAGGGAGTAATGGCGGTGGTGTGCTCCATAGGCCTCTCTGAGCCTGGAGCAGAGGCCTGAACGGGCGGCCAAGTCCCCGAAGCAGAGTCCCAGGCAGGGGGCTGAGCAAGTGCAAACACCCAGGCCAGAGCCAGGACAGACCTCGGTGTGTCTGAAGAAGAGCAGAATTCAGAGGAGGAAAGAGGAAGTTGGTGGCGTTGTGGGAGGGCTGGCCAGGGCACGCGGGGCCTTGTAAGAACAGCATCCTTGCTCCGGGGTTTTTATTCTAATCGGAGGGGAAGCCAGGGGTCTCTACGGAGGAGATGGGACACCAGAGGCTGGGAACATCGCAGGTGACTGCAGATGTCGGCCTGAGACAGGACAGGGCATGAAGCAGGGGAGCGCTTGGGGGAGAAGATTGCAAGGCTGGAGAATCAGGGTTTCCTGATGGCGTCAGGTTGGTTTGAAGGGAAGGGGAAAGGCCGAGCTTGGTTTGGGGGTGTGGTGTGATTGAGGGGCCTCCAGTAGGCTACCCCAGGCAGTCCCGGCCGTGCTGCTTACTGGCTCTGTGACATCAGGCTGCTTCTCAGTCTCTGCATCTGTGTAGTCGTGTGTGAAATGGCGTTAGCTCGACTACCCCGGTGCCCCCAGCCCTGCAGTGCACCATCTGGTAAGGCTGCAGCCGGTGACTCGGGGATACCATCGAGCCACCCTCCAGCCTGCTCTGCACTCTCCGCCTCTCACCTGCCGAGTCTTGAATCTTGCTCATCCTGCAGAGAGCAGTCAGCAGTCTTTCTCATAACCTTGTCCTTACGCTCCAGCTGCATCTTGCTCTCCGTCTCCCAACCTGCACAGTCTTTGACCCACCCTCTGCCCATCCTCCCTGTACCCTTGCCAGTCTGACTCCTTTCTCTACCAAAGGAGGTCCGTCTGAGGTCACCCATGACGACCTCATTGCCAAATTCACTGGCTTCCTTTCCTGTCTGTGCTCCAAGCATCTGACCCAGCCTGGTCCCCTTTCGGGAATGTTCCTTTCTGCTCTACACACTCTGGTTTTCCTGCACTCTGCTTTTCCTTCCCAGCCTGCTCCTCAGAGCAGAGCTTCCCAGTAGCTCCGGGAAGCTTGTTAACAGTCACGATCTCTGGGGCCGTCCTCTCAAGGTTCAGAATGAGTAGGTCAGCGGGAGGCCCAGGAGCCTGTATTTCAACAAGTTACCCAGGTGATTCTTCCCATTGGGCAAGGCTGGAAACTGCTTTGACTGTTGGTGTTCCTTAAAGTCTGGCCTGTCTTCCATTGGCCTCAGGAGAGTTGAAGCCTTCAGCTCAGGGATATTCAGTATCCCCCAAACCCTATGCCCAATTGTAGGTATTCATCATTGCTCCAGAAAAGAGTATGTGATTTGGACAAGGTGAGAACCGCTCCTCAGTGTCCTCCCAGGGCTCCCCCCTCGTCCCGGACCCTGGCTACCTACAAAGCTGTTTCTATTCCGTTCTTCTCTCTTGAACTCCATAGCCGTAGTTTGAACTGTCCATTCAAAATCTTCATTTCTGGATGTCCTTGAGACACCTCATACTCACCTTGTCCAAAACAAGCTCCCCGCCACCCCCCCCCCAAAGGTTCCCATGCAACATTTCTTTTCCCACAGGGCAAAAGGCATCCCTCTTAGAATTACCCAAGCCAGAACCGAAAGCCAGGGCCACCCTCGACTCTGCCGCTTCTCCTTCCCTCATGTCTGCGAACCCTGAGATTCTGTGCTGAATTAGACCCCATATCAGCTTCTCTTTCTCCTTTTTCCCTCTTTTCCACCTTTTCTTGGGACTGCGGGAGCCCATCTCCAGGCCCCACAGGGAATTGGAGCCTGTGGGGCCAGTCCATTGCAGCCGGGTCAGAATTTGGGCCCACTGTTGCTGGGAACCTCTTAGGAGTCAGAAATCCAGAAATCTGATTTTTAAATGCCAACTGAGATTGCTTTTTCTATTTCATTAGTTTCAACTCTTAATGTTGCTAATTCATTCCATTTACTTATTTTGGGTTTAATTAGTTTGGGGTTTTTTTCCTGGCCTTTCAAGATGATTTAAACCTTCCTTTTTTCCCAGCACAAGCCTTTCTAGATGTAAATTTCACTCCAGTGCTGCTTCAGCTGCGTCCCATTTGGATATATTGGTTTTCGTTATCATTCAGTTTAAAATACTTTCCAATTTCCCTAATGATACCTTCTTTGACCCATGGGTTATTTAGAAGTGCATTGCTTAATTTTCAAACATTTGTGTTTTTTGGATTTTTTTTTGTTACTCATTTTTAATTTAGTTCTGTTCTGATCAGAAACTTACTGTTACTATATAATGTCAGTTCTCTGAGATTTGTTGAGACTTGTTTTATGGCCCTGAATATGGTCTGTCTTGTGGAAGGTTCCATGTGCGCTTAGAATGCGTGTCTCTGCTGTGGTGTGGAGAGTTCCCTCGGGGTCGGCTAGCTCAAGTTGGTTGACACTCTTGAGGTTTTCTATCCTGACTTTTTTGTCTACGTGTTCTATCAGCTACTGAGAGAGGAACGTTAACGTCTCCAAGCATGTCTGTGAGTTTGTCCGTTTCTCCCTTCAGTCCTGGCAGATTTTGCTTCTGGATGGTTTTCAGTGTCGTATGGGTGTAAGCGAAGCTCTACTGTGGAGTAGACGTGGCCTTGGTCTTGACCGGGCGTCCTCCCTTTCAAATGTGCCAGGATGGTCTTCCCGAGCCACAGGTCTGACCACCTCACCACCTGCTTGGTGAAAGGGCCTGGGCCCATCAACAAGGCATTTGAGACCTTCACAACCTAGCCTTTCCCTTCCCCACTTGCCTCCCCAGAGTATTTCCATGTCCCCATTTTAGCATTTTCCACACCTGTCTGCCTGATGCCCCTCCCCTCAGAAAGCAGCCCAAATGTTCCCTCCCCAAGTCTTTCTCTGAAGGCCCACCACACCCAGCACCATGTAGAAATCATTGGCTCACCCTGGCATTGCCCAGGCACTTGGTACAACCTTCGGTCATAGCACCTCTCTGGTGTCCGTGTCCCCCATTCACACACATTGCACAGAGGTGCCGTGCACACCAGCAGGACAGAGGTTGAGTCCTCCACAGACTCTGGGCTTGCAGGTGCCCCCCTGCACACAGTAGGGCAGGCACTAAGGTTTTCTGGTTTGGGGGTTCTTTTAATTTTATTTATTTGAGAGCAAGAGCGTGAGTGAGCAGGGGAAGGGCAGAGGGAGAGAATCTCAGGCAGACTCCCTGCTGCATACAGAGCTCGACCTGGGGCTCAATCCCATGACCCTGAGATTGTGACCCGAGCTGAAACCAAGAGTCGGATGCTCAACCGGCTGAGCCACCCAGGTGCCCTGGGCAGGCAATAATTTTTAAGTAAACGCAAACTGGAAAAGATGTGCCCGGCGCCCCCATCCCTGCCATCTGGTGGTTGGAAGGGAGGAGTCTGCAGGAGATCTGGCTGCAGCCCGGTGCCGGGGGCTTGAGAAGGCCAGACTGCATGAGGGGAGAGCAGGAAGCGGAGAAGCCGTCTGCTGTTGAGTTTCTCTGCTGAAACCTTGGGAATAGAGCGCAGTGCTGGAGGGCAGGGTGGCCGATGCCGCCAGGCCTGGGCTAGACTCTTGGTTCCACTGCAGTTTTTAGCCACAGAGTTTCCAGGTGGTAGGACGTGGCCATCCTCAGTGGGGAGGTGCAGCCCTCCCCGGCAGTAATGAGACCCGGGTGCTGTGCCCTCACCCCAGGGCGGCGGGTGGGTAAGTGCAGTCCTGGAGAGCAAGGGAGGAGGAGAGTCCCTGAAGGAGGGTGTCATAACCCGGGCCAGAGCAGGGGGCACCTGGACGTGGGGAAGGACGGTTGGCAGTGAGCAGACGGAGCCAAGTGCCAGGAGCCAGCAGTGGGTTTGACGGTTGGTGGCCAGGCGTGTTGTTGGTGAGAGCAACACGGTCAGCGGGAGGCACCAACCTCGGAGGCCATGAGGAGTGAGGGGTGTGATTCTGGCCCACCCTCCGTTTTCACTCTCACCCAGACCCCTTCTGACAACCCCCATCAACACTGCCCAGCCCAGAGGAAGTACTCCTTTGCCCCACTTTCCAAATCCCACCTATAGGCTTCATCTCCTCCACAAATGCTGCCTACATCTGCCCATGAGCTGTCCTGGCAGGAGGGATGAGGGTGTGTGTCGGTTGGGGAAGGTGACTGGGCTTTCTTGTGTGTGTCCACACCGATCCCTAGTACTGTGCTTGGAAGGTAAGGAAGATTCTGGCATAGCTTTGCTTCCATAGGCCCTGAACCCTGGTCTTAGGCTTCAATGCAGGCAGACCCCAAGTGGCTGTCATTAGGCCATGACATGAGCCCGATGAGAAGCCACAGGGATGGGGTAGCCGCCGCTCAGGTCAGCGGACAGAGTTTGGGTGAGATTGCTGAGTGTTACGGGAGTAAATCACGAATCTGGATTTCTCAAGCGAAGTCTTCCATTGGTCTGCCAGCCCTGGCCTTCAAGGTAGGGTTCACGTTGCCCTTGGGTGACTGCCCCCGTGGTTGGTGGGGCCAGGCCCCTGAGAGCCACAAGCATCAGCCGTGGCAGCTTGGGACTCGCTGCCTGGGCTCTGGAGAAGGATTTTAACCAGGGGGGAGACATGGTCAGACTGTGATTTTAAAGTTGAACTAAAAAATTTGTGGAGCCCAAAGCCCCGGGGGAGGCCTGAGGACTGTGGAAAATCAAAGGCAGCAGCTGTGGAGAACCAGACAGGGGCGCCGGGGTCCTGTGGAAAGGGGCTCTGGCCCATTCTTGCCTCCCAAGAACACAAGCCACAACTCCCCATTTTTCAGAAGATGCCAATTATTACGTTTTTCAGAAGATGCCAGTTATGCCAATTATTAAAAGTGAATTACTTTTTAAAAAAATACGCCAGGCAGGTAAACAAAATGAACCCACCGTCCCCACTGTTGATTCTGCCCGAAAGGTGTGTGCGTGCGGCCCGTGAGAAGCGGCGTGAAGCGGGGCATGGCAGCCAGGTGCCCACATGTGGGCGCTGCCCCCGTGGGCGGCCCCGGTCCGCGGCGGGTGGGAGCGCCGCGCGGGAAGCTCTGGGAAGCTCTGTGCGCACGGCGGGCCACACGGCTCTTACTCTTGCAGTGGAGAGGAGGCGGAGGGACAAGATCAACAACTGGATCGTCCAACTTTCAAAAATCATTCCAGATTGTAATGCAGACAACAGCAAGACGGGAGCGGTAAGTGCCATGCCCCCCGCCGCCCCCGGCCACCCCTTCGAGAAAGTCTGCCTGGCCTGGTCCCTGGGCGCGTCCTGGGCGAGCCAGCGGGCGGCGCTCACCAGCGCTCTTGCCCACCCCCCAGAGTAAAGGAGGGATCCTGTCAAAGGCCTGCGACTACATCCGGGAGCTGCGCCAGACCAACCAGCGCATGCAGGAGACCTTCAAGGAGGCCGAGCGGCTGCAGATGGACAACGAGCTGCTGAGGCAGCAGGTGAGGGGCGGGGCGGGGCGGGGCCGGGGGGAGCCGGCGCAGGTGTGGGCAGCCAGCCCCTGGCTCCTCGCCCCCTGCCCGGTCCCCCTGTCGTGTCCTGTGTGCCAGATCGAGGAGCTGAAGAACGAGAACGCCGTGCTTCGCGCCCAGCTGCAGCAGCACAACCTGGAGATGGTGGGCGAGAGTGCGCGGCAGTGACGCCCACCCCACTGCGGCCTCAGCTGCCCCTTCCCCAGCCCTTAGCACAGAGAGGGACAGACGCCCCTCCCCCAGCTGCGTTTTTTTATAGTAGATTTTTAACAAAACGGGGAGAAATAATACATTTCTGTGGATAAGCGCCCGCCGCTCTCCTCAACTTGGGAAGCGATATCCTCCCCCCCTTCTGTCTTGTCTCCCTTCTCCCGGCCCCCACTAAGCCCCAGCACTTCTAGTGGTCTCGCCTGGAGGCAAGAGGGAGGAGGACAGAGGCCCTGCCATATCCCGCTGCCTCCTTGGTCTCTAGAGGTACTGAGACAGGGTGCTTTCGGGAAGGAGGGGAGCCTTTAGGGGGGCCATCCCCGGGGCCTGGACCTAAGCAGGGAGGCCATGTCCCACCCCACCTCTTGTTTCTGGATCCCTGCTCCCCTTTGAGTGTGTGTGTGTGTTTTAATTTTCTTTATGGAAAAGTGGACGAAAAAAATAGAGAGAGAGGTATTTAACTGCAATAAACTGGCCCCATGTGGCCCCGCCTTGTCTGTCTGTGTCTCTGTCCATCTCGGGGATGGGGAGGGGGCCCGGGGACCGTGGGGAGCTCCACGAGGGCAGTGCCTCGGCTGCGGTGTGTGTGGCAGCGTGCCAGTCCCTGCCATCCTTCCTGTACCTCCCGGACCCCAGTCTGTTGGTCGGTCGGATGGGTGGAGAGGTTAAGGACTGAATATCCCCTTTGAGGCTCCAGGTGTGCATGTGTGGTGTGAGGGCGTGGGGAGCTGGGGTCAAGGACGTGTCCCATGTTTTCGGAGGAGAGGCTGGGGTCTTTCATCTGTTACTAAAAACAGCACTGGCTCCTGACCCTGCCCTTAAGGGTTGAAGCCCTCCCCTCTGCACCAGCCAATGGTGGAGCCTGGCCTTGAGCCCCCCCACCCCCAGGAAGGGCAGATGGCCAGGAAGCCGGGCTTGGCCCGTCAGCCTGTCGCCTCACCCCGTGGCCCTGGCGCCTGCACTGTGACCCCTGCCCCGGCTGGTGACGAAACCTGGCCTGAGCTGCGATGCAGTGCTGCCTGGCGGTGCTGGGAGCCGCCGCCGTGTCTCCCCGGGGCTGAGCGTGCGGCCCGCGGCCCCATGCAACTCCCGGGACCGGGGCCTGCCCGCCAGCTCACCTGGCCGAGCTCCCCACCCGGACCCATCCCAAATGCTCCCAACTGGGCTGCCCTCTGACGGCCCCGTCTCCCTTTCCCCCTCAGCGTGAGGCCGTCTTAGAGTGAAGGTGTGTGCAGCAGGGAGCGGCCTGCACTTCCCAGACCCCACAGCCCCCATTTTTGTGGTTTCGAGTGGGCCTTGGCAGCAGCTCAGGGCCAGGAAGAGTGTTCATTCCTTGGCAGCATCGTCCACAGGCCCTTAGGCTGCAGCTGACCCTGCCTGGGTAGTCCGCGAGAGTCAGGGAGGAAACCCGGCCAAAGGCCCGTCTGTGGAATCAGGGTTTGTGGTTCCCGGGACCATGTGCACCCAAAGATGGCTCAGAGTAGGTGGGAGTGGGGTTGCCACGGTCAGGCCACCTGCTTCGTCTCTCCATCCAGTGGCCTGCTGGAGAACCGGCCCTCAAGAAAAAAGGCCCAGGTTTGTAGAGTCAGCCGATGTCTGTGGTTTAAATGCTCCCACCACTGCCGGATTCCAGGTGCCAGTGTGAGCCCAGTCCAGCGTGCTCCCCTGTGGCCTCCTGTGCTTGTGGGGAGACGGGAAAGCCCAGTGGTGCGAACACACGCCCCAGAGTCAGGCTGCTCAGGCTGGAGCCCTAGCTCTTGCCTCTGGCTGAGCTTGGGCACTGCCCCCATCTCTCCCTGCAGTTCCTCCTATAGAATGAAGAAATCAAGTCTTGGGGTGGGCACAGTGCTAAGAGGGAGCAGGGCCTGGGCAGCCAGGCCCCGGGGATTGGGGGCGAAGAAGGCAGCCGCGGCCCCTGAATACAGAGCAGAGCCCAGCACGGGGCCGGCAGGAGCCGCTCGGACAGGTGGCACAGAAGAGGCAGGCCTCCGGGGTTAGCAATGACCAACACTGTGGGCTTCAATGGGCAAAAACTCCAGAGACCTTTTCTGATACTCAGAAAACCACACGCACGCTGGGGGCTTGTGCCGACATAAACCCGTGCGTCTGGCTGCCCCAGCGTTTCCTGACTGGATCTGCGCCCTGTGCGAAGGGAGCCTGAAGCGGGAGGAATGATGCTGGGCACCCCTGGGGGGGGCCCCTTAAGCAACGGCCAGCCTCCCTGGGGATGAGGACATCGGGAAAGGGTGGGGAATAGGAGGTCACCTCGCTCCTACTCATCGACCTGTTCAACTTCTGGGGCAAAAGGGGGAATTTTTTTCCCGAGGTCAACAGGGTGATGCCATGTCAGGGAAAGTGTTCCCAGGTGGCTGGCTAGAGGCGCGTGTCTGTGGCCCCGACTGCCCCACCCCCTGGACACACCTCTGCTAAGGGTGACATAACACTGTTCCCTGTCACTCTGTTCCCGCTTATCTCCGGTCTTGTCGGCGCCACCACCTTCTTGGAAATGAGTTAGGACAAAGGGGAGGGGGCTTAGCACCCCCGCCTCCTCCAGAAGGACCCATAAAAGCAACTGAAACGGGGCCCCAGACACCACAGCCAGTCCTGAACCCAACGGGACAGCAGGACAGCCAGACAGACGGCACGATGGCAATGAGCACGCGGATCCAGGCTGCGGGCCTCCTGTCCCTCCTCCTGGCCGGTCTGGCCAGTGGCTGGGTTCTTCCGCCCCAGGTGAGAGCCCACAGGGCCTGGGTCCGGCTCGGCGGCCGAGACCACCGGAGAGCCAGGCCCTGGGAGGGGAGTGCTGAGGGCAGCCGCAGACCCCTTAGCACGGGACAGAGCTCAGGGCAGGGAAGGGGGTTACAGAGCCGGGGGCCTGAGTATCAGGGACTGGAGGCCCCGAACGAATTGCACCGTGAGTGGCGTGTCTGCTCCGTGTTCAGTCCTAGTCTGGACAGTGGGGAGCACACAGGGAACAAGGTAGATGAGAGGAGTTCTGCTCTCACGGGCCTTACATCCCAGTCAGGGAATTAGTCTGGGAACCATTAAAACAGAAATAAGATCATTGTGTTTTAGTAAATGCTCTTCATGAATAACGGAAAATGATGATGATACCCGAGTGACCATGAGGGGTGGGGGGAGGACTTCAGATGGGATCAAGAGTTTGGTGAGAAAATGAAATCTGACCTAGGACTGGGAGGATAAGAGAAGGGGACAGCAAACAAATGCCCGGGAGAGGGCAAGTGTGGCGAACGTCCCCAAGGATCAGGAGGTGTAGTGAGTGAAGGGGACGGTACTTGGAGAGGAGATTGAGGGGCGGCCGTGCCAAGTCTTGCGGACAACTGTGGAAATACTGATTTTCCTCCACGTGCAAGGGGAGCCCCGCAGGCTTTTAATCGGACTGCTAAGGCATGGGGAACAGAATGGATGGGGCAAGATGCAGGGAGACATGTTCCAGGCGGGGGTGGCAGCAGGCCGGGGAGGGCGATGTCCCCAAGAAGAGTAGCTGTGGGGAGAGAAGGAGACAGATCTGGGATGTCTATGGGAAGAGCTGCGTGAGCGGAGGGGAGAAAAGTCCGGACCGCCAGGCGGCTCCCAGGACACCCACGGAGCCCCAGGACACCGACCCTTGGGGAGGAGCCGGTGTGTGGGGGCAAGTCTGAGAGCTCCCCTGGGCCCTGACCTTCCTCACCACCCCTTCTGCTCCCGCAGACAGGACAGCTCGCAGCCCTGCAAGCCCAGGACGCAGCTGGAGCCGAGGCTGGCTTGATGGTGAGAGCACTGACGACTCCCTCCTGAGCCTCCCCCAGCCCTTGCCTGGGCCCGAGCTCCGCTCACTCTCCCTTCTTCCCCACAGCCCACGCTCCCGAGGCTGAGGAGGCGAGACACCCACTTCCCCATCTGCCTGTTCTGCTGTGGCTGCTGTAATAAACCAATGTGTGGGCTATGCTGCAGGACCTAGAGCCTCCCAGCCTGGCCCCCCGCCCCCGCCGGTCCTCCCCGCCCCGCCGGTCCTCCCTGCCCCTTGTATTTATTCCTGCCTTGCCCTCCAACCCGCCGTGACCGGACGTGGAATAAAATGTTTCTGTCTGTTGTTTTCCATACTAGAGTGTCTGTTGCCCTTTCTTCCTGCCCGACGCCCATGCCAGAGGCTTGTTCTGGCCCCTGTCTGGTTACGGGTATGCAGGGTTGGTGGGTACCGGGGTTGGCACAGAGGTTTGGTGAAGGAAAATCTGTTTCCTGCTCTTCCCTTCCTCCTTCCCTGCTTCAGAAGACCTAGAACCTATGTTGCAACAGCAGGGGCTAGAAGTGAAACCAAGTTTCCTCTCCTTGAAGCCTTCTTAATAGAACGGTAACTAATGCAGAGTCCTCACAAGGGTTCTCAAAGCAAGGTCCGGGGAACCCCTGATAGGGCTCCATCAGGCTCACTCGCCTCCCATCGGGGGCGCATGGGCTCACGGGCTCTGTGACGCCGGGTCAACCTCATCGCTCCGACGGGAACGGGTTGTGTGTGCTGGTGTGCCTTGGGCTTTCAAAATGTCCCGGTCTCAGTTTCTAAGACGTGGAGCAGCTAGAGATGGAACCCACGTAAACAAGTTTTCTGGGGAGTCCTCGATGATTTTGCAGAGTAGAAAGTAGAAAGTAGAAAGATTTTGCCACCAAAAAGTCTGAGAACCACCGGCCTTGCAGGCAGGCACAGTGACCGAGTGAGGGGCGGTGGCTGGGTTTCAGAGAGCACCATAAGGGGTATCCTCTGAGTAAGGACACACTGCCCGTGAGACACGCGGGAGGAGACCGCTCACCTCCACAAGGAGTTAAGTTCCCTCCCATTCTTCTTGAAACCGTGTCCCTCTCAATGTATCCCATTTCCCCACTTTTTTTTAAATAAAGATTTTTATTTATTTATTTGACAGAGAGAG